TTATTACGGGGTTATTACGAGGCGGTTTGCCTACAGGTGGGCATCCTTTTGAGGACTCTAGTTAAATTGAGTCGAGAATCAAGAGTGAAGAAACTCCAAAAGGGTGGCCATCTATTGATAAGCGCCCTGTAGAAAACAGCTCCTGGGAGAGAAAATTCGCGAAAGCCCTTGAGGGTGTCGCCGAGGCGAGTCCCGTGTTCCTCTTTGGTTGGCTTGAAAAGCGACTCCATTGAAAAGTTTGGTGGAGACGGTGGGTGATAATGGAAACATCCGTGTCAGCGAGCGGATAAGAAAAATGAACATTTCTGTAGCGAGGGTTGGATGTAATTGGTGTTGCTTCGAGTCTCGGGACTTTCGGACAAGTTGATTTCATTAAAGTTGCCCGGGGCGTCGTTGTAGCATCCTTTCGTAATTATCCCCTCGTTTCTAACGCAGGCACGTGAACGTGTATGATTATTATGTTTTTCTTTGATCTCTAGAAAAAAAAAAAAAAAAAAAAAAATTTGAGAAAGGCAAAGAAATTGTATTTTTACTTCATTAATTAAATGCTTGTGATATCGTTAGGAATTATATACCTAGTATTACGGAATTCAATTATGTTGGAATTCTCCATCAAGTTCGTTCCTTTTACTGTTGGCTTCTTGAACTCTGTCGCGTCGCTCAGAAATAAACTTAACTATGTAGAGTAATTTCGATGTGACGACGTATTTTGCAGTTGTTTTTCCTTTCATCGGAAACCTGATAACCTAACTGCTCTGTATCGAACACATTGCTCTATTAACGTATAAAGTTTCATTTCATTCTGAGAAAGATGTGTATAATTTATTTTTTTTATTTACGACGCTAATGGGTTTTACGAGCTATCATTGCACAGGGTGTGGCAAAAATGTGGCAGCTTCGGAATCGATACCGAATTACACGCGAAGTATACCTATATTTCTGGAGGAGTATTTTATTAAAAAATTCGCGTGCACTTCGGTGGAATTTCAAGTAGAAGAAAAATGGGATGACGAATATTATCATGAATACTCTGTATTACGCATGCATGTATGCATGGTTTATTTTATACCCTTCCGACTTCGAACGGGGCACGTTATTACATAAATTTGTTTACTTAAAGTACATGATACACGGCGTATACAATAAACATATAGAACAGCCAGAGAATAGTTGCACATTCGTTGTGGCTATCACTGTTTCTTTCTCTTTTAGTCTTCGATCACTGTCTTCATTCGTCTTACAGCTCTCCGTGTGGCATTAAGTAATTTATCTTTTTATCAGTTCTCATTCTTTCAAAATAACATACGTCACAGTGTATATCTTTCGTTTCTCTCTGATAGAGTGCGTATAGTACACGTTTTTCTTTCAGTATATGCACAATTTCTTCATTATACTTTATATTGTACATACAAACAAACGCTGTCTCTTTATATAATAAGTAAGAAAGATAAGATAAGATTTCGTCGTATGCAATATCTTTAAGAAAATGAAAAAAAAAAAAAAGAATAGTCCAATCTTAACGAAGCGCGAAAGCGTAACTTAACTAATTCCTTCGTTAGCAAAATATATAATTTTCGATCGATCGTCGAGTCTTCGGGCGTTAAAATATTATTAACCGTCAGAAATGTCGAGATGTCAAGAATTCCTGTCCAGTCGATCACGGTGCGTCCCAATTTCCTCGCGGATGAATCACCTATATTTTATTGCGCGCTATAAATCACATTACTGCTGGATCCGTTCGCATTATTCATCCGTGGAATGCGTCGCGGGGCTGAATGCACAAGTTTCATAAGTTTTTTCGCGGGTCTGACCTCCGCGAAAAGCTCGTCCATCACGCGGGCTTTTCACGGCTGGAACAATGAATACATAGATTCCTGCCGCCGACAGTTTTCAGACGTCCGCGAACATTTATTTAATTTTTACCAGCGGAAGGTGCGCTTTTTTTGGGGCTGGTCGTATTCCATAGCTGCGTGTATAAATATTTGGTCAAGGTTACGCATTATTTTCTTTTTATAGTTTCAGCGTGTATATGGCGCACATAATTTATTCGAATTTCGAGTACAAATATATTTACCAAATTTCGAAGGCGTTTCATATTCTCCGGTGGAGCTCTCGAACCTTTTCGTGGTTCGTTTTCGGTTCGTTCACGTATGCGCGATCCTTGGCCGAAATGAGAGTTCCCTTGGTCGTCGAGGATCGCGATTCCACGTCGGGTCGGTTTTTTCCCTTCCGGCCGGCTAGCGTGAATCGCGAAAAGCAGAATAATAAACCAATGCGCGCGAAAAAATAATCACAGAGATGGCGGGGCGTTCCCTCTTAAAATGAGCCGCACATGGCATCGCGCAAACAGAGCACGAGGGTACAGCGGAAGGACGATGAAAAAGATGCTTTTGGTACTTTCAGCGATCTGGAACATATGTTTCAGCTACCTGGATGCCAAAGTTACTCTCGTTTCGTGTTTTTTCGCCGTTCATCGAGACACCAGTGCGACCATTTTGGTTGATCCTCGAGTTGATACAGAGTACTGTCCATCGCTTTATAAAACTGCTAAAACCTTTTAAATCGAGTATAGAACGAATGAAATATGAGATCGATTGAATACAGATGTGCTAAACGATTCTAAAACGTATAGCATTTAATAAGTTATAACTCTCCTCTGTTCATAGGCTGCACCGAAATTCCTTAGCAATCGATACGATCGATTTCACCTAGAATAATCATCTCGTCCTTCAGCCTCGACAGTTCAGCCTCGATCAAGTGTCAACTCGAAGGACATAGCACTGCAAATAGTACCGAATCTGAGTGCCATTAACAATTTTCGCGAGTCTACGAAAAATATTAATGGATAGGGCCACGCGTGTCTCTTCTTTGTCCATCACTCGTGGAATCGATAACCAACACCGTTTTGGTGCGTTGTTTGTGGACGAAAAGGCATCGGCTGTTGGCTTGCACGCGCTTCGGGAGACCGTTGGCCAATAATCTTTTGGCCAGCGGAGCTGACGGCTTCCGTGCCCATCGCGCAGATGGTTTTCGATGTTATGAAACCACCGACCGGGTTCAGCGGCGCCCGACAGAGCCACGTTTTTTGTTCCCGCGGTCGGCCACGCGGTTCTTTTTAGCCATTACGATCCTGGAAAGCTCGTCTTAGGCACCGAGGCCTGTCCGTAATCTTCGTTGAGCTGATCGGAACGCGTCGTCGTTTCTAAGGCTGGCCATTTTACTCGAGTGGTTCGATCGATTCGATATTGGCAGGCATTCGAATGCAATAAAGAACTCTTCGATTATTGGGTTGTCCGGAAAGTCCGTGCCGAGTTTTTGTTGGCGGTGTAGGTTTAAATATATCGAAATGGTTGAAAACGAATAACACATGTCCGTCCCTTGAAAGGTGGAAAGGTTGTGAAACAAAATGGTACCTATGTAATTCAATAAATATATATAAAAATTCAAATATGCCTTTGCATTTTTCTGAAAACTTGCCACGAATTTTCTAGACAACCCAATATATTAACCGATACTTGGATGTTCAGTATTTGGATAGCGTTCGATTAATAAAATGGTTTTCGAATACCGAACTGTTCGAAAAATGCGGCTAATAAACCCAGCCTCGGTTGCTTCGTCGAACTTGCAAAATTGCATACCGTTCCAGGCGTCTGCCGGTGGGGATTGATTTTCCTGACGTGCTCGCGTGGGTGTCGCGTAAATAGGAAAAATTGCGCGACGTACGTTATGTTCCCGGCGGAATTGCTTACGAGACGCCTAGGTTTCGGTTTTCAGTAATGGAAGACTGCCACCTGGAACCGTGTACAAGGAAATATAGACATCTAGAGTGCAGATATGTGCACTGATCTAATAATAAATAATAATAATTCGTATCAAAAAGCATTAGAAAATTCCACGCAGACGAGTTAGGCTCTTTGTTTCTTGCTATCCTCAAAAACAATTAATCCGAAAGCGTTGAGTGTGCCAAAATGAATTCGAATACATTGAAATTCTCTTTTCGTAGGGATCGATTTGTACTCATCTCTCGTATTTTGGCCCCGGTTCGCTTCAAAAATCCTCACAGATCCCGATCTGCGAATCCAGACGGCGAACACGTTTCCATAATTCCCTTTGTGCGGATTGAATCGAAAGGTTGACGGTTCTTCGTATCGCGTTTGCCGGCCTTCTTGCTTTCTATTTATTTTTCAGGCCAGTTTCTCGCCAGCCTTCTCCAGCCGCAGTCACGAAATTGCAATACGGTCACAATGACTTCGCTGTGCTCCGTCGTCGGTTAACGACTTACGTTTCATCGCCGGTGATGTAGTCTCCGCGAGGCCATTATGATAATGGTACTTTCATTACGAAAGGGTCTTCATTATCTTACCGCGATTCGATCTACACGAATCGATATCGTTCCCTCTCTCGCGTTACGTTAAACACACGTACAGCGGCACTTGTCATTTTTATCGCGAATAATACGATAACATTATTGGCGTTACCGTAATGACAGACGTTCTCCAGCATTTGTTCATTACGAACTCGCGTTTGTCTTTCTTTGCACCTGGGCTGACCTTTTTATTTATGATATTTTTCTGTATTTTCTTTATGTTTCTTTTTCGTACTTTCGAGATGTCTGCGTCAAGCATTCGAATATCATGCAGTCGTGTCCAGCCATCCCAAAGCACTATATTCTTTAACACGTTGACGCCGGCGCGGTTTTTCATTGTCTCTGCGTCGTGAGGCGGCGCGGAATTAGATTGCGCTTGTTCGGCACTAACGCATGACCCACCGGTGTTGCACGCCGCCCCACGGAACAGATATCTATGATCCATCGATGATGCGAACCGGCGTCAACGTGTTAAATATAAAGAATTTTAAGCCAGCAGATGCCCATCAAATATCCTCGGTTCTTAATTCCCCAAAGCTTATCCCCCCGCCGCGTCAAGAAGTAACCCGACGCCACGCAGACGTAGATTATTAATCTTTCTCTTTTCTTTTTTTTTTTTTTTTTTTTTTTCCAGAGGCCTGCCTTGTGGCGTCCAACCCCCTGAGCCAGTTCCAGATCCAGATGGCGACAAACTGGCGACGATCGCGGCCCGTTTCAGCTACTTTCAGGAGAGAAAGAGCTCGCTGGCCGCTGCCAAAGTCGATCTACGCCGGAACATCAACCCGCCTGCCAGGTATAAGAACGCAAGGCCGACGGTCAGGCTCAGGCCCCGTCAGGTGCTTTGCAGCAAGTGTAGATCGATCTGCAACGAGAACAGCGAGAACGTCGACGTCAGCAGGAAACGGAAGCACGACGAGGGACAGCAAGAGAACCACCAGCAGCCGCAGCAACAACAGGTCAGCAGATCCTTCGCGGAGACTGGAGCGAAACCGTACTTCGTTTGGTCTCGGTGTAATTGTCCAGGACTGTACTTCGATTGCGTTCGATGGTCTGTCGTTCATCTTCGAGCACGACCGAGCGAATAATCTGCGTCGTCTTATTGAAAACGACGAGAACGTAGAGTGAGATTGAACTTCCTACAATTGCTCCGGCGAAGTACGTGACGCACAGTCAACGTTGCGGTAGAGTAATTCTGAGCTAATTGACCTGCGAGCAAACGATGTTTCGACATTAGTATTAGGTTGTCCCGAAAGTTTCTTTCGCGAGTTGCACTCATTTAAATTTGATATGGTTGTGTTTCTATAAATAGACAATCTAATTTCATAGATATCCATGTTGTAACAGTAATGGAGCAAAATGAATCGTGCACAATTCAGTAATGTAACATGAAAACGTAAAATATTGTGCATGTATTACTTATTAATAAAGCGAAAGAAACTTTTGGGACAGCCTAATAATTATTCCATAAGAAGATATAGACTTTTCTGATAACGATTGAAGAGTATGGTTCAGTGAACGCCCGCGGCGAGTAGCTCGGGTAAATGACAAAGTCTCGAGGGGCTATGATAGACGCGTCGATGAGTGTAAAGCAATTATGTGATTTACGAGTATAGGAAAAGCAGCGTAACATGTATTATGAAACATGAGTTACATTGTAGTTCCATTTAATCCGACATGGCAAGTTGCCCCGTAATGCACTTCTTAGTTGGACGCGATATGTTCTAATAATACATGAATGGCCAGTTACTGAAATTTTCATGTCAGCATACTTCGTCGTTGTCTCCGTTTTCGACAGTCTGAATTCCAGTAGAATACTTAGATGGACCTTGATGTACACGTTATGTTACATTATATAGACCTTGGTATAGTTCATTTATTATCTCAATTCCGAATAAAAAATGCTCTGTTGGTACCCCAAATTGAAAAGAGTGTACTCAAATCTAATTCATTTATCATATTTTACTTATTGACTCCGTTCCGAGCGGATTCCATTAAAGACTCCACATCCACCAGTAAAAACACTTGACGCTTCGATTCGTTTAGGTCGCGGGTCATGGATCCACCAGAAGAAGCGATCGACGTTGCGCCCAGCAGCCGCAAAAATCCTCCAGAGTGCTGTTCTCGGATTGCCAGTCTGAAAACATCGCAACTCATCAAGCAACGAAATCCTCGTCGTCGTCCGCGGCGTTGAGTCCCGACTCGTCGAAGTTGGCACCGTCTCTCATACCCAAAATCTCGAGACTACAACCCAACGAGATCAACAACGCTATGCAGGGAACCGGTTAGTCGATGTTTCCATTAAAATTCATTTTTCAAACAGGAATCAATTGCTGATGCAAAAGTTGCAGTGTGTGTGTGTTGCTTGTGATATTCAAATATTTAACAACCTTAATTGGGGTCTACACTGTGTACAGGAATACTAATTATTTAATACCAATCCTATAGATAGTAACAGTAATATATATATATCCGATCCTGTATGCATGCACCTAGCTATTTTGTATTCAGTAAAGCTTCGATTCCCCAAATTCATTATATTTCAACTGTTCTCGTCTGAATTTTTCAGAGAAGGTGAAGATCGCCCCATCGTATTGGAATAACAGAGCCCAGGAGGGCGGGTCATCGGTGAACGCGGTGGAGCCCGCCGAAGAACGCATGGAGTCGACGGATTGTGACAGCAATCCATCGATGGCGTATTGCGCCACGCCCAGAAGACTAAGCAGCTCGTCCGTAGAAAGCGCTAAGATACCCGAGGAGGACGAGAAGAAAACCTTCGCCGCGGCGGACTCGACAATGAGGCCAAGAACGGCCCGAGTACCGCGAAAGAAACGATCCGTCGGCTCGATGGAGGATTTGTGGGACGAGACGGTGTTCGAGGACCCGACGAGAACAACCAGAACCACGCCAGTGATCAAGATCTCGTTTGGGGCTCAGGGCGAGGGCACAGTTTTGAAAATCCCCTCGAAAATTCAGGATCCCGAGTACGAGCAGGAGACCGACGATGCGGAGGACCCGCAGACGGAAACGGAGAGGGATCCTCTGGAATTGCCGAGAACCTTTGAGAACGATTACGACTTCCCTGTGGACTGCGAGGAGGACGGACAAGAGCAGGTGGACCCGCAGAAGCAGAGCGTGAAAGACGCGAGCGCGAAGGCGGCGAAACGAGCGCTGAAAAAAGCGAAAAAGGAAGCCAGGCGGAAAATGTTAGGGGGTGTTTCGCCAGCGAGATCTCCTTGCAACGGCTCGCCACGGTAAAGTAATCACTTCGTACTTTGATCTAGCTATCTGGAACTATTCGAGCAATTCTCTATGTTTGTTAGTGTATAGATATTCGAATACGATCATCGTTACGTTTTCAGGTACAATCCCACGTACGACACTCTGTCGTATCACCGTCGCAAGCATAAAGTGAAGCATAAAAAGAAGCACAAGGAGGACCGGAAGCACAAGAACCAGCCGCAGCTTCAGCAGCCTTGTTTGGAGGCTGGCGCCGCGGAGAATCAGCAAAACTGGAACGTCCTGCCTGGCAGCGAGTCGTACACAGCCATAAAGGAGCAGTGCCTCAAGCAGAAATTGTCCATATCTCTGAAGAGATTGAATACGAACGCGTACGCCAGATGCGATTATCCGGTGAGCAATGCGTCTTCGGGTTGCAAGAGCCCTGGCGCCAGCAGCGACGAGCTGAGCGAACAGGAGCCCGAGGTAGATGCTGGTGAAACGGCTCCTGATTTTCCCCCACAGTCTCATCCCTTGATGATGCGTCTCGCTGCGACACCCGTGGAACATTGCCTGACCGCCAGCGGCAGAAGAATGGACGTTGGGGACGTAGTATGGGGAAAAATTCACGGGTTTCCATGGTGGCCTGGAAAGGTACGTCACGCGCGAACACGATTAACACGTTCACAGTCTGCTGACCTAGGCTTTGGCTTAGGGACTTTAGCTTGAGGGCCGCAGCATTAAAGTGTGCAACTTTGTCGTACTTGTGACTATTAAATGAAACGGCAAATATTTGAAATTTTTGAGGTTAAAGAACGCCAGGTACGTTGCTAGGGCAACAATGTTTGCGGTGTTCAAATGTAGAATGTTTTTTACTTAAAGATACCGACGGTGGACGTGTTAATGAGATCCACTGCGAGGCAGTGGTGTACAACCAATAATGCTTTTGTTCCACTAGGTTCTCAGTATCACGGTTTCCTGTAAAGAAGATGGCTCCTCATCTGGGCCTCAGGCACACGTTGCTTGGTACGGTTCTTCGACGAGTTCTCTCATGTCGTGCGACCAGCTGAGCCCGTTTTTAGAAACGTTCAAGGTAAAAAAGTGGAATAATATTTTACATTTAGTAGTGGGTTCTTTCACAAAATAAGATAAATAGTCAGTAAAGTCGGAGGTTCTCATGGGAAAGTGCTGATGATTTGATTTATTATTAACGTGGATTGTATTTTGTTTCAGACGCGATATAACAAGAAGAAGAGGGGACCGTACAAAGAGGCGATACGGCAGGCGCAGAACGAGGCCCGAAATCAGATCACGCCTAACTCGACGAGCAGCGTGTTGAATGTCTGTGGTTCGCCGCGCGAGGTCAACGTCGTCTCCTAAGGGAAGGTGCACGCCACCTGACACCATTCCTTACTGCCGGGTATTCGTCGGCCAAGATTGCGATCGGCGGGTCGGAATCGTCATGTAATATATAAAGATTTGTACATAATGACATAGCATTAATGAAATAGTTCTTGGATCGATGTTCTTATCAGTCGCGAACCGCCCGATGTCTCATGGGGCAAACACGACTCGAAATGAAGTTTACTGCCATCACTGGCGCGTTTTTTATCCTCAGCTTTTTGAGCAAACATTTAGCGCGTAAGGAGTATCTAGATAGGGTATACCTAGAAATAATGATGTGTCAGCTCTCGAGAATAATTTTCGTATTAAATATGACTTTTTCGATAGCTGAACGGGCGTTGGTCATTGACGACTCGAAGGACGCCTGTTACTTAAATTCTTGATATATATATATTATATATTTGTATTACAATTTCATTGTGATCGTTATCGAAATACGCTGCTGCGAGCTCATCCAGTGCGGGCAGTGAATCTTCGACATTACAGTCCGCGGATCATTGCTGAATACGATCGTTAATGACTCGATTTCGTCGTAGATCATGATGCCACGATTATAAAAATGGACAATATCTCTGACCAGATCTGGGCGTTTTTGAAGTAACGTTGCTTGAAATACTATTTCTGATAACATGTTATCTTATTACATGGTCGTTCAATTTTTGAAATACAATTATCTTATTCCTTTCTTGGAAATTCTTGTGGAAACAATCGACATGCTGCCTCATTTTTTAACGTATGACATTACAAATGTTTTTCAAGGATTAAAATATTAGATAGAAAAAATTTAATATTTTATTTGAAATATGTTGAAATGTGTTACCAAATAACTTCGTTATCTGAAATATTATTTCAAAAAGATATTTCTTTTTTTATTTTTAATACAATTTGCCCGGGTCTGCCTCCAACTAGTGAAGTTTGCAGCACTTTAGTTGCTCCAAAGTACTATGTTTCAGATTGAAAAATGAACACTCTTTAAAGAATTAATAGAGAGGACGATTCTTCCAATTGAAAGTAGCTAGAGTTATTTTTTAAAGTAGACGTAGAAAAAGTGAAGGAGGGTGATATTGTATAGTTTAGAAAAGTTTGACTTCCTGCAAGTTTATTTATTTATTTATTTTTTTATTTAAGTAGAACCGTGTATTTTTTCATATGTCATTCTATAGGTAAGGAATAATGGAAGATTTCATTTTGTATAGTAGAAAACGATGAGGAATAATCCTTTGATGTTTGTAGTCTAACGCTACCGCAATTTATTTTAATTATTCGTTTATACTTTTTCGTACTTTTCCACGCAGAATAGTTTTACTTTTTTTAAGATAAATACATAGCTATATTTCAAATGTAAGGCGTAGTTCGAGCAATTACGCCAGTACATTAAACAAAAAAAAGGAACAGAGTTTTTGAAATTAAACTTTACTAAATCGTACGATATTCCCTTCTGTCTTCGCTTAGAAAAAAAGCTATAGTCCACTCACTTGCAAGAATCATCCCGTGTAGTCGGAACAAATGGAACTTCTTGAAAGAAGTTCACGTTTAAATCGATCATGTTTAATAGACGAACAGTAATAGCAACGTTTTGCATTTTTTAATAGAATAATCTACAATGAACGTAAGCTGTAAATCAATTCTTCACGATAACCTCAAACTAACTTCTGAGTTTCGTTTACGCTTCGTGTCAACACTGCCAAGGAATGTAACTGGTACTTCGTTTCGACATAACGATCGTTGGAAGACAATTTTCAGTCTTGGAAACGAGTATCCTTTATAAAAATAATTTCTTGGTGAATTCCGAATATGTAACGGCGCAAAATTTTAAAAAGGAAAAAAATAACATTGTTCGCTTAACGTACCACGTATATTAACACGTTAAGAGAAAAAAAGAATACGTATATGTAAGTTTTGTCGTAACATTGCCGCACACTTTGTTCTTTTGTTTAAAAAGAGAGATAAGTCGGAATTCACCAGTCCCTACTTAACGACTATCATTACCATACCGACGGTAAAAAACTTCTCTATCGCCATGGTCATTCGATGAAATTGGTTTCAACCGTGCGTGTGCGTGCGTGTATGTATTGTGTACGAGTGTGTGTTATCAAATTGGTCGATCATATTTTTTTCTTTGTTCGAAAAATATTGTTTGTTACACGGGAGTCGTGCAGTTGTCGGTTCTTCGTAGTTCAATTTCCGATTAGGATTTGTAACTTTAATTAGAAGTTTCCTAAAGGAAAATAGGTCTCTTATCGATTAGTACTTAAGCGTTTATGACTGTCCCTTTATGTCGAAGGTCTGTCACTGCCTTATGGACTTTCTTCCGTATTAAATTGTGACTAGGATTAGGATTGGTCGAATTTTTCTATATTCAAATATTCGAGTAGTCTCAGCTTTAATTCAACTGCCCTGTTTTTGTCGTTGTGCTGTCGGTATCGAAATTTTCTGTCGGAATAGTACAGTAATTTCGCCACTTGTGCGCTGAAATTGGTATTTTCCCGCCTCGTAAATGGCGCCAGTTTTCCGTGTGTCTACGTTGATTTGACAATTTTATTTAGCAAAAAACTCGAGTCACACGGAACATTGTTGCTAATGTTAGCTAAAGTGTTAGTTTTACGTCTGATATTTGGCCTGTGTTTTGTTGAGACAACAGAGAACATTTCGTTCTTAGTTTCTATCTTCGATGACGGTGATACAAGATATCAAATGATAATCTCTGCATACAGGAACGACGTATTTACTTTCAAGGGAAGACTATTGAATTATTTAATTCCTGGAGATGCGGCGCAATTGTGGCACAACGAAGAGGAACGAATCTTCATAATACAATAAGTCGAAAAGGTAGATCGAAATTTTTTCGCTGGAATCAGCCCTTAAACAATAGCCCTAGTGAACGAAAACTGGTTTTTTCGTAGACTGCCGCGTTTCGATTCAACGAATGTCGTATCAGAAAGAATTGAACAGTTTTAAAGACTTGTAATCTATCAATTAAATTAAATTTCTTGAAAGTCAGATTATTAAGTTCACGCTACATCTTATTTATAAAGTAATATTTTTTGGAAAATGTTCAATTCTTTTTAGATCACTCTGTGCATTAACACACTTTTGTGTGCACACAACTTATATACCTTATTTAGCAATAATATGATCAAAATATCTTGGAACTGGATTCTTTATGTGCCACCGAGGACACAGTCAAGAGTTTATCAGGCGACAAAGTAAATAAGGTTCTAGCGCATGGTAGTATGTTTAAATCACTTTGATACGAGTTGTATACTGAATGTACCATTGAATACAAAAGGTGGCCATAACAGTAGGATTCTATTACCTTTATTTTGATTAGATGCATTTCACATCCACTATGGTCATTATCAATTGGATTTCATCAATTGATAACTGCTTCGTTATTCAATAAACTATATGTTATTTTAATCTTAAGAAAAAAAAATCACATGGAGTCATCGGTCAACATATGAATTTAAGAAATAAAAAGATACATATCTGATCTTCTAATGATATTTATCTGTTCTGATGTATGAGTAGATTAGCAAAATGTTGTATTCTGTTCAATTACAATTACAAAATATGATTGATTTATAGTATTATTGATTGATATTGAAAGAATTTATTATCAATGTTGAAATTGATATATTATTGTATTATCCGATAGAAAATTTGTTGAGATGGTTTCTTCAGTGGTAGATTAAGATTGCAGTTTGTGAATGCAATTTTTGGAGCTTTAACATATTGGCCACCTCCTAATCAGAGATTTAGATAAGAATTTCGACTCTTTTTTTGATGAAGAATTTCCTCCCGTTCGTCGAATTACGTCGCCATCTTATATTATAATTGTCCTCTCAATTGCTTCCTATTTTTTTAAAGCTTCGTCACTTTCTTAACCTCCCGATTATCTATCGACTCTAACGATAGAAATCTTCGCATGACTGCCATATACTAATCACGACTACATAATATCTTAACCTATTACGTTCTGACAATTATTGGTTCATCGTAGGTTCTTCTCAAAAACACGATGCGTAATTCCTTATCTTTCGTTAGAGGTTTTTTTTTTACGAGTACGTAATAATTTCGTAAAGTGTGGAAGTGTACATCTGTGGAACTTTGGAAGGATGTAGAAAATTTATCCTTTTTATTTTTTAAAAGACGATGTATAGTGCTTGGAACAAACATAACGGTCTACGTGAGGAAAATTTCTTAAAAATTTATTTGGTAACACTACGACGAATTATATTCGAACACTACTTAACGAATAAGACAATTTCTATTTGTCCATGAAATATTTTTTTTTTTTATTCAAAGTACTTTTATTACATTTTTTAATATGATTTTCGTTATTCGAAATTTTCGAGGTATTTTATTCACTTCGAATCCAGACTCTAGCACCCGAAAACTTGCCCCAGGCCGGCCCTGGATCTGTTGACATCCTCAAGGGTACTTGACCATATTGCTCCCTACAGTTTTCACGAGATCGTTACGTGTATGTTTGTTTCACACGCTATACGACCAGCAAAATAAATAGAAGGTTCGCACGTCGTGTCTCGTAACACGACGGAGCACCGAACTCTGTTATACGTTATCTTGAATCATGAAGAACTCACATCACAGTGCGTTGTGTCTCTTTAACACGCTACCGTTAAGAAAAAAAAAAAAAACACAAATTTTAACATATAAAATAACGATGTTGTAACGTATGAAACGTACGTTTTTTTTAGGGCGGAAAAAAAATATTGTTTTCTGAATAAAATATTAATGAAAAATCAAAGTGTATGAGAACAGTTTTTTTTACCATCAGCGATTCGTACAATTGTTTCTTTTTTATACATTTACAATTATTCTAATGACTTTTGTATGGAAATCTACCATTCGCAGCATATGCGGTTAGAGAAACTTAACCTACAATTTGGGAGGTTATCTTTCAAAGTAACAGTTCCTGGGCGTATGTTTATTAAAACATTCTTTTCTATCGTTAATTTTCGTGGATCCCAGTACTCGTATCTATAACTTATTCATATCCTATAAAAAGCATATACTGATCGACGAAGTCATGCAAGTAGGTAATATTAAATAATTTCCTCGAATAGTACGGTATTTCTATCCATTCGTGTGGGTACTTGATTTACATACTATCGAACGTTTCATACGTTACAACAAAACAAGAAAAAATAACAATGTGATTTGCGGTACCGAGTAATGACACCTATCGACGATCGACGAGGAAACTTGGAACTCGAATAGTACGCGATATCTCGCTGCAGAGGTGGGCAAAGTCTTATTCGAATAACAGGTGACGAATAAAGATATCGTACGATGATTTTTTTCGCGATTTTCATTCGAACAACTATTCAGTTAAACTTTTATTCGTTGTTCGAAAATTTAAAAGAGGTGCGAATAAAAATGTTCGAAACGTGCAGAGGACATAACCGCTTCGACATCCTCTTTTTTTTTTATAATAAACAGTGACGTTTAAGTGACTTCCTTTTAAAAGGAAGTCCTTAGATACGTTAATGATTACAAATGTCGATATTTGCGTAGATGCGAACTTTGTTTGTGCGTGAACAATTACAAATTCTCATTTAAATTATTCGTGATGCTTGTTAACGAATGAAAGGGGTGGAGGTGGGGGAGGGGCTAGGAATGTTGATGATACATCGTCCAGTGCCCCTTCTTCTTGCGTTAATACAGCCTTCCAGGTGGAGGGGAGTTGATTCACGCCCCTAAACTACGACGAGAAAGACATACCGATCTAGAACTGATAAATGATTAGAAGTGCGAGATAGAGAGAAAGGGAAACAGTAAAACTAAGAGGTTTTTAAGTAACTGTGATTTTTTCAAATATTTTGTATTTGTAAACGTATGTATATGAATGTATGTATGAATATATACACGTACATTATACATATATAAATATGATCTTTTAATTTCTATGTATAATGCGAACGATAATGTTTCGACGTCGCTGTGTTTGTACGAGAGTCGTAGAGAATTGTTTTTGGACTAACATATCGGTAGAGAAAGAGCGTTTAGCGAGGAACAATTATTGCTATTATTATCGTCACCGTTTCACGTATTAATTCGTAATTATTAATCGATTATTATTACGGTAGTTACGTGCGAGTGCGTTGCCTAATCTTCACACGGAGTTCGATTGTTGATTCCTTGCTGTAAGAGTCTCTCGTCATCGCTGTCACGTGATCATTGTATTCAGCGCCATACACATAGTCAAGAAACTATCAACATATTCTTACTAATATGTTGCCGCCTCTTATCGTCGTTCACCAAGGACAAAAATTCTTCTCCTTTTACTTATCGTTTGTGCAATCGACCTCCCATAGACTGTTCCTAAAACGCTACTGTACACATTTGGACTTTTCGTCGAGCAGACTCGTCCTTGACCTTGGCGCGTGGGTCGTCTTTGTTCACAGTCGATTCTCGATTGGATTAGGTACTTAAACGATTGACAATAGATAACGTTATCGACCATTCAATCCCAGCAGCGTGAAAATACGTGGATCACGTTCTCAGTGATCGTTGGAATTGATTCTTGGACGAACCACCAGATGGCGAGCGTATTATGAAGTCGCCAAATTAATATCGGATACCTGATTTGATTGCAAGTTAACGAGTGTTAACGAATGTTGCAACCGACGAATTCCAAGTGTTTGAATGTTTGTTAACGAATGTTTACTCCTGAAACGACGGAGGTGTCTTGCGAGTCGTGTTGCTTTACCGATTGTTAACGATGTGTCCCGACTCGTCGAGGAAGCAATCTGATTGGTTTCTTTCCTAAATCTTAATTCTCCAATCAGGATGCTTCTGTCAAGTCATCACTTCCCCTCCAACACCCTCAAAGCGGGATAAACGCCCACTGTGGGCGTTCTAACGAAGGGGGAGGGGCGATAGCTGGAGGACGTGAGAAGTTCTAGGCTCAGCAATCGTCTGAAAGAAACTCGAAATTCCTTAATTTTCGAGGACAATCTTTCCTGGCATGCATGCCATAAACGTACCGACGAAATTCTCACGTGTTTCTGTTTCTTTGGGCGGAATCGGCAACGAGGCGACAGCTCATCCGAGGTTACGTTGAAATTGTAGAATACAACTTTTCTCATGCGATGTTTCCGTTTGGAGAAACAGTCAAGGTGACCTAAAATTTTGTCGAGAAAAATAAATGTTTTTAAAATTTTTATTATTGTAGATTATTGTAGACTCCAATAGCGGAAACCCTCGCGGATGAACAAATTGTATTCCACACTTTCGATGTATCTTTGGACGAGGAACCCATCCCCTCGTCGATTTCCTCCTGAATTATTCCAGAATAAATGTTGTAGTACCCGGTTTATTATTTTGTACATTTTCAAGCAACAGAAATTTATCGAAATACTAGAATCTCTTCTAGACGGATTGAATACACTAGTTTTTTTTGTTTTATATAGCATAGATTAATTTGATCTGCTAATCAAAGTTGGCCACGCCCAGTTCCTCCCGTACCGTGCGTTTTATGCTGCTCGACAAAGGTGCTGACTGTCCTTTTGTCTATCCTGACAGAAAGTGTTCATTTTTGTGAGAAAAATTATACACACGTGCGACGAATTGTCGAAACACTCGTAGAAGATCCACGAAGCCTCAAAACCTAACCTAACCTCGAGCGTACGCATTCGCCTCTGCGCAGAGGATCGCGGAACATCCGGTTGCGTCACGAGAGCGACCGGAATCCAACGAATATCGCGTACTCGACTCGTATTTTTTTTAATAAAGCCTCCAAAAAAAGAAAAGAATGAAAAACAAAGAGACACCAAGAGAAACGACTGTATCACGATTCTGTCTGCTTGGATCACTTCTTGCATACTCGGTAGGTACCACGAGATGAACAGAGATTACTTTTGTAACAATCACTGACAATTGTCGTATTAATTAGGAACCGTAAACTACATTTGTAAACAGCAATCGCAAATTAGTGAATTCTAATTTGTAATCTGTTAGAGGTATCGGTTAGACAGTTACGACGATCATGGATTACATTTTGCTCAGCATTTGTAATTAGAGTGGAAGAGTTGCTGGAGAATATGAGAGGGAGAGAGACGACTGAAAGACTCGATCTTTTCGATGAAGGTACCCACACACGAGCAATGTTGCGAAGGTATAATATCGTAGCAATAATATCAAAGAGTTAGCGATTCGCTGATGAACGTTATCGAGACAATATTTTCAATTTCATATAGAGTAATGTGAATGGTACAAAAGTGCACAGGAGACGGAAGTACAATTGTACAGTACTGCCTATGTATTGGGTTGTCCGGAAAGTCCATGTCGATTTTTGAATAGGTGGTACAAGAATACATCGAAGTGGTTGAAAACAAATAACATACATACATCCCTTAAAAAGTGGAAAGGTTGTGGAACAAAATGGCACCTATGTAATCCAATAAATATATATTAAAATTCAAACGTGTTTTTGAATGTTTCTTAGAAATTTTCACGAATTTTCCGGACAACCTAATACATTGACAGAGTGTCGATAATATCGAACAGTTTGCAATTGTTTCCAATTAATTTTTTCAATATATTTCATCCACGTACAATGTCAATATCAGAGCGTCATTGCCGATATTCGATATTGCAGAATATTGGTCGTGTGTGAGTTGCCTTAAGAGCACCTTCAGCGATATATTAAGGCACACGCGCACAACAAGGTTCGACGGCTGGGTTCCATTCGCGAAGTATGCCTGCAGTCACAGCGACTCGTGTAATTTGTAAGGAACCCTCGACAGTCATGTATATAGTATTTTGTTTTTTACCAATGGAAAGACATCCGTATTGCGGCCACTGGCCATTCGGGGCGCCACGTCTTCTGCGCATGCGCGGACGGGTCGGACGCAGCGAGTAAACGTTGAATGGAACAAAGCAGACATTGTTCTAACTCCTTTCGTTTCGTCTCTCTTTTTTATTTGGTCGCTGCTCCTTTTTTCCCTGCTCTTTCATTCGGTTCGACCCGTCGGGAAACACGAAGGGACGATTCTCATCCTTCGGCTTCGGAGATGGGCAAAGCTTTATTCGAATAACATCAACGGATAACAATTTATTCGTATCAATTTGTACTTTAAATAATTGATTCTATAACACAGTTTCCAATTTTTATTTAAAGAGCAATGGACAACATTATTTGAAATTTGCCCATCGCTGTTTAGCTTTTAGTTTGTTTTTTTTTTTTTTTTTTTTTTCGAGAATCACTGCGTCGCTTTTGTATCGAGATTCGACCGCATGGGAAAAATCGCGGGTGTGTCGATGGATAAAGATATTCTATCGCTGGAAATATAGTGTCGATATTTTTTAAGAACGAACTCCTGTCAGAAAATAAATCATTGATTTAGTATAACAGAAGACTTTTCTTGTTGACGAAACGCTAGTAAATTGCGATCGACGTCGATGCGTATAATAACTGTTCAAACACGGAACACCTTTCCCGAAGCGGTATTTCACATTTCAGAATAGAAATCGATGCATCTTGAATGTACACAACCGCGAGCGTAATCGCCGTCGGTCTCGTCGTAGCATTTTTTCGTAAAAAAACGTGGTCTGACTCAGTCACCTCGAGATGCCCACGCCAGGCACCTAAACAGAAGGTAAAACGATATTACGTTTACGCTATCTTTCATTCTCGACCAGTTTGCCGACGCGGCTTTGAGTTATTTTCGGAATATGTTAAGCAAAAAGTAATCGAGCGTACGACGTTTATTAATTCCAAAAGTGCATAGGGACGAGAAGCATCAAGAACGCGGACAATCGTACGAACAACAATAATATCGATTAACCCTCTGTAACCTATTTAATCTTTGAAAAAAAAAAATTGTACGACAAACGGCAACGAGAGATAAATTAGCGCCGCAGTTATTTATCTTATTTATTTCGTAACTTTTAATTCCGTTATTAAATATTCATAATAAAATAGAATCGATATTTAAAAAGTGTCGACAACGATTACGTGTGTTTGGAGTCACGAGGGGTTACAGAGTGTTATCGAAGTGTTGCCGGCACAATCGTTGATGGGCATCTGGTACAGCCTGTAACCCGAACACTGCCGGGAGCACACGTGCGAAAGGTAATAAACGTCTAATGTACATAACGTGCGTTCAATTCGAAGCTACTGCGATTAATTCTTATCGCTGCATGTACGAGGTAGACGAGTGTACGCAATACGTTTCACAATCAATCACACAGTGCACACGGCAAAAGACAGACGCGTGTGACCGATCATCGAATCGTGATCAGCGGAACGATTAAAAAAAAATTAAAAAAAAAAAGAAAAAAAAAGAAAGAGGAATAAATAATACGCAACACGCGAAGTGCAACGGTGAAACGATGGTTTCGCACGAAACACGGTGAACGTTCCGTGAGAGAATAAGTGTACTTCGTCGAATCTGATGTACGGTTGTTTTGTTGGGGAACTGTTTGTGTTGTGCTTATCGGGATGACTAAAAATCCTTGGGATTTTCGCTGCAAGCGTTGAAGAAAAGTTGTTTACACTTGCCTCGCGAAGGGATTAAACGATTCTCGTGGATTAAATCGAGGATTTTCGAAAATTGGCAAAATGATAATCGATGAGAGCGAGTATAACAAAGAAAGTCGATTCGAACGATCGATGAGGAAGAGCAATATGGCGTAACGTAAAAAGGTAAATTGTAAGAGTCTTGAGTGGTTAGGGAATGTACTTTCATAACAAAGATGATAAAGTTATCAGTTACGGTTACGGTTACGTGATGTAACATCTCTGTTGCGTTAGAAACTTTTTGTTTAAAAAAAGAAAGGGACAATAGGGGTATAGTAATTAATATTTAAAAGTAGGCTAATTGTAAGTTCGCCTCGCGATAAGTATAATTGAAATTACGTGATACGCTCTGTATAGTACAAATAACTTTCGAAATTATCGCTTTCCATATTTTCTCACGAAATACTTAATTGGTCGCGTTTCGACTAATTTTCGCGGTCAATTAATGATACTTTCACGGAATATTTCGTTTGTTCAACCGTAGGTAGACGTACGCTGCGTTACTCTCTGATGCGAAATAATCGCAAAATAATCTTCGTACAGTTTTCATCGCACCTTACCAAGAATATTATCAACGAATCGGCGAGCGATCGTTCGGTAATAACCCCGTGAAAGTATTGGGTTGTCCGGAAAGTTCGTGCCTATTTTCAAGAAAAATACAAAGGCACATTCGAATCTTGATGTATATTTATTGAATCATATGTTTACTATTTTGTTCCACAACCTTTCCACCTGTTAAGGAATGATACACATCTCATTTGTTTTCATCCGTTCTGAAACATACAGACCTGTAACGCCTACTAAAAATCGGCATGGACTTTCCAGACAGCCCGATACAACGAAAAACGCCGAAGATTTGCATTAGCGGGCGTCGCGTCGATACGCGTGCGTCACCGGTTTGAAGTGCAGCCGGTCGAGATGTATCTTCGCAGCAACCTCTCGAGTCAACGGTCGCTCGAGCCGAAGCAACAATAAACAGTATCGAGGGCAGTACTTTGCATACACTCGCGGTAAAATCTTCGCAAATAATCGGGCTTCTCGGGGTTCCGCGTTTAAAAAATTCCCGAGACGGTTCCAGCCCGCGAAACGCGTCTACCGTGAGTCAACAGCGAGCATACCGCTGACCTATCTTTCCTCCCATTCAAAGTAGTAGTCTTACTCACGAACCACCCTTGTGTACGTTTCTGGCCAGGTCTCAGCCGCGCGTGACCCGTGGACGACACCGGCAAAGTAGAGGGACGAGGAAGAAGACGAAAGCTCGACGGGAGTGGAGCAACCAAGAGAGAAAGGAGAGAGAATAGCGACACGGCGAGGGAGCTGGGAGAGGGAGAGGGTAGGCGTCTTGGAAAGCAGCGGGTTGCCAGCGAAAGTAACAAATAAAAAAGAAAAAAAAAGAGAGAAGAGGGGTTAGTCGTGGAAGTGCGCGTGTCCGTGGGCGACGCGTGGCTCGCTACGTCGGTTTTCTGCTCGCAGCCAACCGCGTGGAGGGTGGTTCCTATCGCCCATCCCCCGGCCGCGGGGGTAACGCGGGCCTGACGGCGCCGTAGTCGCGACGCGAACGCGATCAAGTGCACGTTCACCCCGTCAGCCGTGTCGCGGAGGTTGGGCGCCGTGGCGGCGACCGCGCTGGAGAAAATGAACGATAGCCAGGTGCGTCCACCTCTGAGTAAGTATTGTTCGCGGAAGAAGGGATCCTCGGAGACGGTGGGCGTCGTGGCGCGCTACGTCCCCGATTCACGAGGCTCCGCCGTCTCCAGCGGGTGGAGGACGACACGATCGATCGCCGGCAGCGGTGCACGAGAGATGCTCTCGTGGAAAAACACCCGACTTTCCGCGAACGTCGTTATCCAGTCGACGAGGATAGCTCTCAGGGAATCCATCCTTCGCGTCCCGACGGATCATCTCCGTTTGCCGCTGTCGATGGCGTGCGGTGAACGCCCATGGGCGTTCTGAGAGAGGAACGCGAACCGCGAGAACACCGCACCGGGGTGTCGATAGCTGGAGGAGGGTTCGGGGACTCGAAACCGGCGAATGTTTGATCGAAGTTGGACGGAAGGACTTTCGTGTCCGTAGTGATTGATTTCCACAGCGTGGCGTGATCGTTCTCGGGGGTATGTGTGCCTTTACATGGGAACTTGAATGAAGAATAATGCTCGGTGCTAGTGACAGACGTTCATTGACTAGCTGGAGGCAGTGCTTCTGCGGTTGATAAGAACGCCTCGCATCGGTCAAAGAGCTCGAACGCCGCGATTTAGGTCGGACAGGTGATGAGTTGACGGCGGATTTTACGAATTTATGGCGTACACGAATACGATAACGCGGGCTGAACGGCTCTTGAAAGTGTGTGACCTACTCCCAAGAGACAGGGGTTAATGGTTAATAATTTTTCAAGAGAAACGAAGACGAAATTTTCAGACACTCTCTTTCCATTACTTTTTTAAATAAAAGTTTCCCGAATTATCTCCGTATAAATCAATTTCACTGAAAAATTAAGGAAGGCTTTATTGGATAAAACGCTTACGATTAGAATAATAGTGAAATCCGAAAAATCGATTTTTCACCCATAAGTCTCCAAGAGCAGGTGTCATACGCACTTCCTCGAAATGAAATACTAATATCACTTTACTTTTAAAGCGTCTACAGGTGTACACCCTTTGTGTCCTCCTCACAAAATAATTAATTATACCTCCACGTTGATAAACAGTAGAACGTATCCCGTAAAATGTTACGTACTATCTCGACGTAAAGTCCGCAGTCGACGCGCGTCGTCTGAAATTCTTCATCCGGATAAGAATCCATTTCCCCGCGGAAAGTAACAAGTGCGTAAGGGTGAAGCGGGGTACGCTGGTCGTGGAGACCCAACCTCCGTTACCTACTTCCCAAACACTTCGCGGTGGCCTCATCGCACGCCACTGTCCTCGCTGCTTTTTCTTTTTTAGCTTCGTTTTTATTTTGCCGCTTCACGCACGCTCTCTCGCCTCGTCTCGCTCGCTCCCATTCGACGTTCGCTCGCAGCTGCGCAAAGGTCCTTGCGAGGAGCAGGAGAGCACACCCTTCTGCAGCTGCAGTTGGCAATGCGACCGCTGTGGATCGTCACTGCTCCCATGGACTCGCGATCACCCGCGAAACGACTACCGTATCGGACTTCCGTGACTGGTATCCTCCTGCGGACGTGTTGACTCTTTCAATGGGAACCAGCTTTACGCAATTCGCGCCGCTATCGCACTATCAGCCGTGTTTCTCTTTCAAAGGTTGCTCTTTGCACTTAACGCAAGCGTAACCGCGTCCGGTACGATGAACAGAGATTAAAAATGTGAAAGATCTCTCCGATAGAGGAATTCTTGAAGTAATTATTAATATCGTAGAGTATTTATATTCCAATGGATCATTTTAAGAGCTTCTTCTGAATAAACGAAGAACAGAAATACATCCTTCTTACGTTATATTTAATCCACTGTTTTCGCTCTCTGTTGTCACGTCGCGGTTCGACCGATCCGGACCAATCGTTTCTGTATTAACTTATTAATATGCATAACACACGCGTGCGAGCGCATGCATAAATTATTGACTGGATGATGTCTTGTGTAAGCGGCTGGTTCGAAAGGGTTAAATTCGTTCGGAGTACGACGGCTCGATAAAACGGTCCGACGGCGAGGAAAATTTTGTTTTGTTCGCGAACGCGTATTTACATCTACCGGCGTTGAAGTATCTATAGTCGTTGCTCGTTATTTCTCTGACAATGACCAGTTCCCTCTCAAAGACGGGCAAGGAGTGGCCGGGGACTTTCGTGGAATGAACTTCGCTTGATCTCGAGTCGCGACGACAAGATTTTTTTTCCTGTTTTCAGTCGAGCCTTGGAGAGATTCGTCGATGTTCGCGCAGTGATACGATAATATACCATCTTTTATCTCGTTCGAGCCTTTCATGATAGTAGAGACTAATTTCTTCGTTTCCCGTAAAAGTTACGATCTCACGTTTGTTGATCCGCGTGTCTCACGCTTCGAACGTTCCACGAATAAAATTTGAAAAATTTTGATTAAATGGGTAATATATTCATCTTCGTGTTCTATCATCTTTAAAACAAAATTATTTAAATTCGATGTTAGAATTACTTTTTATATCTGTACATGTATATTTTTATTTTACTATTTTATCATCTTGATTTTTAGATATATGCGATATTAATTACCACGTATGGTAGATTATGTAACGTTATACAACGTGGTTTATTATGAAGTATCTTAATTTATTTGAACGAAACAGAGTAAACCTCGACGGTAGTTTCGGTCAAGGTGGAACGAGGTGGAAACAGTTCCCTTGATATTTGTCACAGTAACGGGTGGTGTATTTTTCGGTTTCAGACGAATGATGATACACGTGTCATCGGAGAACGCTCAACGATACGATCGTGTAAAGCGTAAGGGCGTAGCGTTTCTCTCGAGCTTTTTTAAGTCGAAAAAGTTGACACTAGGAATGAAGATCAACGAGGAGGAGGAGATGGAACGGGCTCCGAAAGTCGAGACACCCGGTAAGTGGTTCTTCTTTAAAATAATATCCTGGAATTAATTATATCAACGATCGCTTTTCGGTATATAAAAGTTCATTGTTAATGACTAGAAGTGTATAAGTAAATAAATTGTGCAATAAGGACGACGCGTAGCGAAGCGAACATAAAAATGAGGGTACGTTCAATCGATAGCGAATTAATATAGTTGGTCAAATATAGTCATTTATAAATATAAATAAAGTTATAAACGTCTTCTCGTGCGATTTATTTACTTATACATTTCTAGGTATTAATAATCGACTTTTGTGTAACGAGGACTTAAAGCGAGAATCAAAATGTTCCCAATCAAGTAAATTACGATTAGTTGACTAACAACCAAAATAGAGCATCGGATTCGGAACGAAAATAATTAATTAATCGGAAGATTAAATAGAATAGATAATTAGTCCAATTGCAGTTTTAGAGTCACCCTGTATAGTGGTGATACCGGCACGAAAGGTGACTCGCTTTAAAGACCGATTTCGCTGACTGTGTCCTATGATATCTGTTTCAGCGATCATCACGAACACTTGCAGGCGCAGCGGTAGCGAAAATGACAATCAGGTATCGAGAATTCCGTCGACCTTGAGCGTGGCAGCCGTCGATGTCGTCGTCGCCTGTCAGCCGTCGCCGTCGCATTCCGTTTTAACCTTGACACCTGGTAGAACACGAAACATCGATCAGGATATGGAGGCACTTAGACTGAGTCGACAGGATAATCCTTTCCTGCAGGTTTGAATCGATATCCTCCTCTTGCTTTCTAAACGACCGGATGAAGGAACTATTATACGGCGTTATCCGCGTCCGGAACATCTCGATGACCTCTCGGAAAATAATTCACGGTTCTTTAAAGTTGGTAACAGCAACGATTACTGACATTATTCTGCTGTGCGCGCCCTCGTCGCTGTATATAAAAATGTTGGTCTATTCACCACCTCTTTTTGAGATTGTTCAGCTTGGAAACACTCGAAATAATCTGCATACGACATCGAGAGTCTTCTATTTCGATAGCGAAGTTTCTATTTATAAACGTTGTCCAAGTGGTAGCATTCAGTGAACTTTATTGAATGTCATAGATTGAATTAAAAATAAAGATCAATATTTCGCGTTTATGAGCATTCCATTAATAGTTATCCTTGACCATAAATGGAAAACTACATTTTAAAAATAATCCAAGTGGAGTATATGGTAGGCAGTATAAACATAATAGATTTTCGATAATGATAGATTCTTCTGAATACGATGGTTTAGCTGACGTTGAGGCGAGTTTAGCGACCTATAGCAACGTCGAAAACACTGATCACTTTCGAATAAAACAAAAAATTATTATCGTTGGTGATAGAGTGAAAAATATTTTAAAGAATTTAGAAAGAAATTTAAAAAAATTAATTATCGAGTAACTCTTAGTTACACGGCGATACATATTTATGCGTTTATATTTTGTTACATTTTGTGCGTTTATGGTTTTTAGGTGCTGGCCAGTCGAGAGAGCCTCGTGGAGTCCATAGAAGAGTTCGAGTCGGACGACGCCATTCTCATGTCTCAGGTAAGCGATATTTCATTTCATTTCTGTCCGTAATATCGTAAAAGGAACATCGATCGAGACCCACGTTGCATTATTAATGATAGCCTGAATCTGATACCGCGCCATTTGTATCGCACGAAAACGACCTTAACGAGATGGCTAAGGTCGGCGGATAATTCTTTCTTCTCTGTCGAGCAACGAATTTTTCTAGGATGGATTGACGCTATCCCTGAACGAAGCCGGTCCGCGATTATTAATGGAAATATTAGTTATCCGTTGTCTCTTGACCGATATCACGGTTTCGATTTGAACGATCTTTTTATATCCGTCCAATTAACGTCGGAATCGTCGACGAAGCGGGAAACTACGTTGGATGAATCACTCGAACAATTCCTGTTCTCGTTTAATTTTGGGTCACGCGTGGAATGTCCTTTCATGGCTAGCTATCGTTTATGTTTGTAGGCGAGGCATTTGCTTGCGATGCTTTTCCCTTTATTAGGCCCGATGCGAAGTTCCGTCGTTTTTCTTATTGGCGTTTTATGGCGTTTTAACGAGCAACAACGGTTAGTCGGTACTATAATGCACGACGCGACCCACCTAAAACGGGACATTTAATTATCCACGCTTAATGTTTTGTACATTAAGTAGGTTCTATAAATAAATTCCACCGAAAATGTATTCAGAGAAAATGATGTAATCCGTAATCTTTTCAGGAGTTTGGCGACGCTGATCCTTTGACGTTGGCACAAGTGCACGAGCACCTCGTACGCAGCCCGCCGCCAGCCTCGTGGCCCCACACCACAACCTTTCATTTTCCTCATCAGAATCAGAATTCGAACGGCAAGAGCGAGACGTCCACGCACTGCAAAAGCCCGTCGAAGTCGTCGTCGTTTAGGGGCAACGATCGCGAGCTTTCTAGAAGCGAGCCATCCACGGATATCAGAGGTGCGATCCCAAACGACTAAGAGTTAGTTGTCTTTACTTTCTCCAATCGAGTTGCTTTCTCGCACTGTCGAATCTTACTTATCGCTCGTAGATCCTCCTTTAGCCACCATTCGCGCGCTTTCGTTATATAAATTATACTAGCAAGTAAGCTTAGTGCCTGTTTCCTTGTGGTCTGACGCTTTAATAAAAATTAGTTTCTTATCAATCGATCGTTGTGACTGGGTTCTCGTCGATCGGTACATGGTGACATTTCTCTCTTTGGGAAGATCACGTCACGCAGAACTGTTCGCCGAATGAGAGATTTCAATTTTCTTCGAACTTTTTGTCGAGATATATTATTTATTAGACGCGTGATAATTTTTTGTAGAATGTAGACGTACACCTTGCTACGTAGATAATAATTGGAATATATTTTTTTCAAACGGTATTATTATTGTCAATGTTAAACCAATACAGTTCTTGCGACGTACCTTTCACACCCTTCTTTGTTACCATTCTTCTTAGTTAACTCGTTAACGACACTAAAACGCCATTCTTTCTTTCTGTTGGACCTTTGTTTCTTTTCTTAAAAAATAGATCGAACCTCTGGCAGAAACAAGTAGATTGTACGTTAGAGAAAAGTAGTTTGCAAGTAATTGCAAGTTCCAGATACACGCGGGTCGTTTCGTTTTAATTTATACACCGAATATGAAAGATTGAATATTTTAAGGATCGAGGTGGAGGAATTCATTAGAATCATACGTAGATCGATACTTAACCTCCATCGATGTGTAAATAACTCTGCGATCTTATCACCATCGAGAGCAGTTCAAGGACACTTGTATCTTTTTAACGAAATCTATAGTTTTGGTTTAAGTAGACGGTAGAAATGTGTATAGCAACGGACACGAGGTGGCATATATAATGGGCTCGATGTAAATATATCGATCTTCGCATATGGCAAAGTTACTGTATATATTTAATCGCTAGTTCTAATTGCATACGGATAATCGCATGTTTCACTCACGTGTCTTTCGATTCGCGTGCACGACGATGCGATTGCTAATACAGCGGAACCTCCGATAACAGGCAAACGTAATATTTCATACAGTGGAATTAAATTTAAGTCATTTAATTGCAATCATTGTTTTGGTCGTTATACGAGTCTGCACTGTATGAAAGGGCAGAGAAGGGGGCACTTTGGGAAGATCCTTAGCCGCGAGCTCCATTTTCGTTGCGCATAACTCGATCCTTGAATGCGACGACGCAGCTCCGAACACTCGTCTGCGAAATTCCACGAACGTTGTAGGGTAAGGAATATGGAAATCGACTCGTAACACAGACACACTTTGGCGCATTAGCAAATTCATGTATTCGTCCCGGACACTTATTCGCGACCTTGATGCCGCGCTTATAGACATGTGCGATCGATTCCCCCCTTATTTTTAACTCCGCATAAATTAATGGTTGGTTTCGCTGAAGGGTGTGCCTTGACTCAATCTTGCCTTAAAACTTTCAGTCGCATCAATTTCGCGAGCTCTTGCCTGTAAATAAATCCTGGCACCCCTATTGCATGATTCTTGTATCTTTTACTTTCTGTACTTGATAGGAAATGTCGCAAGAATTATGGGATTCGAGCTCGTTCGGCAGGTCATTCTGAACCGAAAATGTCGGATACGGTACGAATGTATTTCTATACGATATCGAGATAAGCTTCGTTTAGTATGACGCGCAACGGAGAACGAGAAGTGAAAGCTGAATCAATTGGCTGCTCAAGGTCACCGAGCGTATTCCCCCACCGATCCACCCAGGTGCGCTATACCTGTGCCTTTGAGTCACGTTTGGGACTCTTGAAGATATAAACATTTTCGTTTGTATATTTCATTTTCGTTTCTTTTTGTATCAAAAGGTACAAAATAATGACAATGTCGGTTCAAAGTGCCCTGTCGAGCACACTGAAAAAAATTAATCGATTGCCTCGAGGAACACCCTGTACATTTGCGCCAAAGTTTCTTCGAACGACGGAAGTGTTAAAAATGAAATTGAACTAGCTGGCACATGTTTGGACACGCCACGAGGTAAGAAGTTCGTGAAACGAGATTATCGCTGATAACTTGAAACGTGACTCTAACGCTCGCGTTATTTGTTAGCGATAACTTCAAATCATTCAGTCATTCAAACTTCCCTGAACTCGAAATTTGTAATGTTAAAACGGATCGAGTTTATGTCTGTATCACGTGCCACGCGATTACCGCGACATTTGTCCCAATGATTTATTATCGTAGTTGAATACGCGCGTAAAGAGATCTAATCGATGCAGGCTTCCGTCGCATTGCGCGATTTTTTATGTAGAGCTTTAGTGACTCCCGTGCACGCATGTTTAAAATCTCATTCTTATGCAGGGCAATAACCTCCGACTCCTTTAATGCGTCGTTTTAACATTCTCTATTAAAGTACGTTCTTGCATTTAATATTCTAAATTAATGCCAAGTATAATATTTAATACTCTACGTGAATGTTAATTTTAATATCTGATATTCGCGATGGAGGTTCTTTTTAAATTAAATTACACAGCTGTACACATGCAGTCTGCAAACTAGTGCGTACGCTTGCACAGGTGCAACCCGCAGTGCATCATAGAGCTTCTAACTTTCTATAGTTGCTTCGAGCAATCAATTATTTTTCAAGTACGGCAACTTCTCTACTCGTATCGTATTCAACCGTAAGACAGTACAACATATTGTCCAATACGATGTATTGTAAAAAACAGAGAAATTATCAGAGAATGTGGTCGAGTAATGTTTACTAATCGTCAGTCGTCTACGACGTCACTCGTATCACAGGCAAGTTGCCCGAAGCAGCAAAAACATTCGACGCGCTCCATATCCGATCGAGTGGTTCGACGCTGACGAAAACGTCGCGATTCTTGTTGGAATTTTTCAGATCGCCACTCGCACACGTTCTCGTTGTTGCATCCTACGCCGATTCGTTCGCTGTCGGACGTACGACGGCTTCACAGATCGGCGGATGACAGCGCGCAGCTGATGTCGAGCGAGTAACACGTTCGAGCGTTCCGGTCCACGGCTGGACCGAGATGGTTTTTCACGTTCAGAGCGAAGGGACGGGTGCTTTTTCGGTGCAATGTTCCCCCGAGAAGTAAAGAGGATAATCGAACGCTCCTCGGCAAGTACGCGCGATCGAAGTTCGTCGAGCCGATATCACGTGTCTCGAGACCGAGAGGTTTCTCTGCTGGAGCATTTCTATCGCAGTTGATCGCGTCGAGCTCGTGCAATAGTGCCCGATCAAATGAGAAAATCGAAACGAAATCGTCGCGTTTGGATTCATTTTAATCAGAAGAATCTCAGGAATTTATTCTCGCGACGGTATAACGAGAGATGTAATGGTTTTCGATTTGTATTAAAGCGCGCATAACGTGGCTGGATCGTGGCCAAGAATGCGAACGGTCCATTCCTGGAATGAATTCGCGACCGATCCTGATTAATCGACGATCTATGGGTCCCATTTTTCTCATTTATTCCGGCACTGCTGCTTACAGCGCGACTTTGATATCGTCGTCAACCACGCAGAGGGAATTTTCAGGATTTTGTGTTTCGATGGTGACTCCTGCGATATCTTTTCGTATTACTCGAGAACGGAACGGTAGGGACGTGCAAGTCGCCGGGTTTTAGGGCTTTTTAGTAAATCACGAAATCGAACCACCGAGGTGAGAATCGAGATCGTGAGAAAAGAATATTTTTAAATAATCCCGACACTTTGGGCCCACGCGAGCATTTCGGACAACAGATAATGTGCCGTGGCCGTAGGAACCTCGCACACGATGTACGGTCGAGTGGGTTAGTCGTGTACCCACCTGCACGCTATAGTTAAAGAAGCGACGCCTGTGTTAATCGACGTTTCGCGTGAAAGTCTAACGCGTTTGGAGGGCGCTGCTTAAAGCACAAAGATTACCGATAATTATCGTTTTACACAACTAAAGATGTAACTAAAGATTCACTGGGAACCACCCTGTGAAGGGCAAAATCGTAATCGCAAATACGAATACGATTGTAATCGAATGTTTTCAAGTTGCGATTACGAATACGATTACGACCGTATTTTTAACCGACTTCGAAAAGAAGATTACTCAATTCGACATGTATTTTTTTTTTTTTTTTTTTTAAAGGTTTACAGCCATTGAAATCTCTTTACCTCAAAGCCGACTTCAGATTCGTGTTTCTCACCCCAAAAAACTTAGAAAACCATACGTTCGTCGAAATGAAAAATGAAAAATTTTCAATTAAAACTCGCGCCCACAGAGCAGAGCCTAGATAGGGTAACTTTAAAAAAGAAATTTTTATTTTAACGAAAGCATGCTTTTCTAAGTTTCTTTTAATGCGTGGAACACGAATCCGATGTCGATTTTGAGGTAAAAAATGCCTATTGCTGAAAACCTCTAAGAATACGGTCGTATTCGTAATCGCAACTCGAAAACACTCGATTACAATCGTATTCGTATTTGCGATCACGATTTTGCTCATCGCTGGAACCACCGAATCGTATTTGCGTTTTCTTTCGTTTCCTCGCTGTGCAGGAGTTAGTATTACTTCTTCGAACTCGTTTGCAAGTCCATGAGCGAGCGTAACGCGCGTAATTTTGTTCGCGAATCGAGGTTTGCTGTGTTTGTTGAAAACCAACAGGTTTGCACGTTTAACAACCGAGAGCCTAACGATAATTATCGACCGATTACTCAACCGCGCAGACAGACAGGCCTACGTTCGATCGAACACGATTATCTTTATTGGCAATCGGATCGAGAAGTTACAATATTCCTGAATCCCCCGTTGAGTAATTTAGCCCTTTATTAAGGGGAGTATTATGCGCGCGTGTTTCCAGTCAATTCGTGCATACAAATACGCACGTGGTTGTTTCTAACGAGGTTGGCTCACGGAAGTTACTATAGACGGGAATAAAGTGGTGCTGTACCTCTTGCAATAATTACACTACTAGTCACGGATCTGTTTGATTTATAATGGAACTTCGAGCATTGTCTCGTACGTTTCAACGCAACTTTTGTAGCGATACGTCGCGTACCGTTTAATTAGCGGTACGTTAACACGAAAGAAGAGTGATACTCTATTATCGATTTTTATTTATAAAAAGATAAAACGTAAATCTTATCTGGAAATGTTTCGCGATAGTTCAAATTTCTATTCAATTTATTACCAAGGCACCTGTTTATATCATCGTTATGCGTTCTATTACGATTACGTTAATTTTATAGAAAATGTTACCGAGCTTATCGTTGTTATTGTTACCGTTGTTTCGTTCCTCTCGCACAAATTATTCATTCGAATGTAACGCACATGGAAATTTTGTTCGCAACCGCTCACTTTTTACTGTGTTTCACGCGATCAGCGAACGTTCACTGTCGTCAAAAAATATGGAAGCGAGCGCCATTCGTATCGAAACGAATACCATTCGGAGCGCTGACGATGCGCCAAATGTATAGGCCTGAATATAATAAGAAGTGAAAATTAATCGTAGGTTAAGGGAACTTTTTTTATATAGACAATGAGAGAGAAACAAAACGTATTCGTCGATACTTCGAAGAGAATTAATCTGCATTGTACGAAGATGGTTCACTCTCGGGGCGCGAAAGTAATTTTTTTAAAACGTTACAGCACAATTTCACGCGAGCACGGATTACGTCGAGCCGTGGGTTCGGTTTTTTTTTTTTAACGCACACAATCTGTACACGCTCTGTTACAAAGTTAACGATAGTTTACCTCTCCGCGGACAACTTTACCTACATCCTATATCTGTGGCCGTCTACTGAAGTGAATTTGCAATCGAATAACGAGAATGTGAAAACGACAAACGTTTCATTCCGTAAACAATTATCGTTTGGAACTGAAATCACAGGCAGCCAGATGGAAATATTCTCCTCTCGGAGGAAAAGCCTTGGAAGTTATAAAGAGCGGCGACACTAGCGCCGGGTTCGTGGTAAATCTCTTCTCTAGGTATAGATTTCGAGTAACGAATAAAAGACAGCGATGGACAGAACCCTAGGCTTCGAATAAATCTGAAGTTTGCCGATACGTTTGTCTCGTTTCCTCTTTTGAACATTTTCCAAAGATGGAAACGAGACAAATACATCGGCAAACTTCAGATTTATTCGAAGCCTAGGGTTTTGCTCATCTCTGATAAAAGATAAACAACTTTCGATCGGTGAAGGGCTTTTCGTTCGAGAGGTTCACAGTATCAACGACGAGGTGATGTAATTTTAGCAGGGTTTATACGAAACTTTCCAAATAATAGCACGTAAGTGAAAATGATTTAGAGAATTATTATTACTACAGAGTCCAATTGACTTGGCCACTGAGAATTGAGATTATTTGTATCTTGAGAGATACCATTAGATACGGTATACATGGGCATACAAAAGTTGTACAGTGCCGTGGCACCACATGTAAAAGTAAACGGTACGTTGTTTTTTCCGGTTGGTGGTGTTGCATCGCTGTACGTTTGTGTAACTATGTTTACAGTGCCATCAGCATTTAGACGTTCGGGATGACTTTATGATTACGATCGAAAGCCAGACGAACAAAAAATATATGAAAAACGCAAAAAAATCAGTAGAGAGACTTATATAATCTAGTCGAATATAACGTATATACCGAGGACTGTGTTGTCGCTCTTAAGCAAATATTAAACGAATACTTGTTCGGGTAAATCATTCGAGTGTTGAATAATCGACGACGTGGTTTATAATTGGAATATTATAATTAAGCGATGTGACGTTACTTTGATCGAAATGCGATGTTGAATCTTGCAATAAACTCGCGATTTTACGGATCTTGATTTAACGGACTTCGAATTGAACGTACCGAAAGTTGTGAACCTTTTTGTTTTAAACAGTGATACGAGTTTCGAATATTTATCTAATTTTCTAATAGCCGTTGAGAGTTACACTTATTAGTCAGTCCATTAAATCAAGAGTTTGTTGTTTCTGTACAAAGTTTTATTCGTATGATTTTAATTTCTCACGTTGGCGAAGAAAGAAATATTGATTTCCAATCTTGAATGTTGTATTTCGTTTCCTGGTGTAACAAAGGAAGAGTATGTTTAAGTCGCCCGATAGCAAATTTGGAATTCGAAGAAAGAAAAATATACGTTACACGTTGATACAGGGTAGTTTTATTTTAGCATAATTGTAAATTATGTATTTGAATTTTTCGTCGCTGTTGTAGCCATGTGTTAATCAACTTACCAAATTTTATGCTGCGCAAGTTAACGAATAATTCGTCGAATAAGTCCTTATTCGTTTGGATTTTAAATCGCGCCAGCGAAATATTGTCGAAATAAAAGTTTGATTCTTTATATAAACCGACTCAAATTTATTCAAACCACTAACCTATCTTTTCTGTAATTAATATTTACTAATTACTCTAATTAATACCTTCTCCACAATTACAAGAAGTATATTTATAAACCATTGGACGACCGCGATTTCTAATAAATCTGGTAAATGTATCATTTCTTATTATAACTTTAATTGTACAAAATTAGATCGTTGCCAACGTTTTCATCATTTGATGTTGAATGCAGATCTATGAATTTCAATTTAACAATAATTTTAATATTTAATGACATAAGATATGGTAGAAAAAATTATTTTTTTTTATTTATTATAATAATAAAACTCGGCTAGCGATTTCATGGGGCACCATTGATGGCGCCATTTGTTTATTTTTTTAAAAAAGTTATATATCCTATAAAAAATTTGTGAACAAACATTGTAGTACTAAAATATGAATGAAAATCATTTTTTAACCCTTGAATCTTTTTTTTTCTTTTTTAAATAAACAAATGGCGCCATCTAGCATCAACAGTAGGAACTAATCGAGGACAAACTTGGACGTTTTCCCGATAGAGGCGCTGACCAAACTCCGAAATTAGTTCGGCATTTTACCACCAGATGGCGTTTACATCGGAAAATAATAATTTTAATTAATTATTGTTATCATGATTCCTACTTTCTTCAATAATTTCAAAATAAACTGATTCCAAGATCTTATTTACACCAACGTTATTTGCCTTTTTCTCTGTTAAATAATTAATTTTGAACCCTTCTCTGCCCATCAAATGAAAGTTTAATGTCTACTTAATAAACAATATGCCTGGCATGATGTAAAATTGCGTGTATATATTGAAAAAATGAGATTAAAGTCAGTGTTGACATACAGGTAGCCTGCAATCAGTCTGAGTTTAGTTCGTTCTATTCACCGCTACGCAGCGCTAATATATCGTGCCCATGAAATCGCTGGCCTACCTTTTTTAGACCATTTTGGACATATGCAAATCGAATTTTTTTATATTATTGTTTAACCAATAAGGACAATCCTCCAACCATAATTTATATCATTAAACATTCATTCAAAAATCTGTAATCATTACTTTCACGAGCGTTCGAATTATGCGCTAGATTTAACGCTGATTGAGGACATCTACCGTACAATAGTCGACACGTACAGTAGATAATTAACTTGGTTTACGTTTTTTTATCCGCATAAATCCAGTTAAACGTGTTTAACTATAAATAGTTGCCCACGAGCAGTGAACGAAATGGCTGGTGGGCGTAACGTTCGCATTGAACAACTTGATATTTAAGAATGAAACACTGCATTAACTTCACGAACCGATGCAACGCGAAAACGAGTATTAATGTATTAATAAATATTGATTGATAAAACCGTGTAACATTCCAAAAGAAATACAATTACTTTACCTGTACAATGAAGGGCATTCTTATCTTCGATCATCTCAACGATGTTCTCTTCACAAAGTGCAACAATAAATTTGCGAATCACATTCAAAAGTTAGCTAGAATTCAAGGTTTGATCTCAGAAAACAAGGTACGCTTCTGTTGAACTTTTTCGCAAATTCAATCTTTATTTCGTGCAAGTTACAGTTTAACAAAAATAAAATTATACATACACATTATGATGTAATGAAATTAACTATTTAACACGCAGGATGCCAATGACACGGATTCAAAACTTAATCCAAATGTGATAATGCAATTATTTTCACCTATTGTTACCTCTCAACATATCATGGCTTCTCAATTTGGCAATTCTTATACTTCGATGAGGTGCAATGATGGTACAAACATGGTTTTCGATGAATTTATGGGATATACTTTCATCTATATTTCTATGGAAGAGGTGGAGTTGATGAAAAGAACATTAGGTGTTTGTGTAGCAATTGTAAGACATGTCTGTGGACCAGATGTTGGAATGTAAGTTTAAGTAAGATGCTATCGGTTTGTAAAAATTACTTCCATATATATTACTACAGTACAAACTGATTTTAGACTAAAGATAAGCAGACAGAAAGTTTGCTTAGTATCTTCTTTATTAGATGCATGGGTGCATTTAAGAATGTGCGAACAAAGCATGCTCACAGAAGCCATAGAGCAATTATCCATAAATACTGATTTGGGTGTAGCGATATTAAGAGTATTAAACGATGCCTGTGATAAATTAAAGGCACAGTCTGAATTTTCTAACGTACACATCTTGATATTAGTAGAACAAAAGTTTCTTTCATTGTACTCTAGTAAAAATGCTCACGACTTGTATGCTTCTGACATATTACTGATGGTGCTCATGTGTTGGGTGGTTGATCAGAAAAGAAAGGGTCAGTCTGCAACAAATGGCAATAATGATGACTACAGTGATATTCTTTTGCCTGAATCCAGTTCTTTGAAAGAGGAACAAATAGCTTTTGGGGCTAAGCTTGCCAATCCTACTTCAGAAGACATTACAGATTTATTCAGTACGATTGTAAATTCGTGGTATTCTTTTGCTCTAAAATTTTTAATAACTATAACTTGTAAATAATATAGACATTGTTTAGATTTTTAAACCAAACAGCCATCTATATTATTTCTGAGTTATTAATAGATCTATTTATTTATTATGATTTTTACCATCATAAGTTCTTCACTGACTGGTTAGACATTGTGCACAGACATGTTACTTAATTGTAGGAGGTTCAAGAGAGTCTTCCATCACCGAAGGTTTATATTCTTTAACCGACGACGATTTATCCAGCCACTTGATATTACTTGGGTCTGAGCACGATTACACCGCCAATGCGGTTCACATCTTTGAATTAGCAGAGGGTATCAATCTTGTGATGATAGTCGAGGTGACTAATCTAGCCACATCGACGGGATTGTACGATAGCTTCAATTATTTAAACGTAATAAACGGATTGCAACTTCAAAGGGACATCGACGAATTGAGGCCTGCATTTGAAAACTTTGACTTGGCAATGAAGAAGGCTTTAGATGGAATTAAGAAAAACAGAGCAAATGTCAGTAACGACGTCGACATGTGTCAGAGAAGATTGCAATTGAAGTGGGAGTTACTTCGAAAAAAATATGTAGACTTGTTAAAATCTAGGGATCCCGAATCTATACTTCAAATTGAATCGAATACATCTGGATTCACGGATAACTTAAAAGAATTATATAGATTAACGTGCTTTGACAAAAACTTTTTAAAACAAGGAGTCGATGTGCTCACTACGGTAGGAAGACTCGTTCGTCAAAAGTTAAACGATTTCAGCGATTTTCTTAAAGTGAAAGCACTGAAGAACTTCACTCTCGGATCATATCCTTTCGCAATTACTTAAGCTTGCTGTTTTATTTATATATATATATATATATATATATTTTTTTTTTAATTTTTCGCGATAAATTCTATATGAAAATATAGCTCCTTAATGCCACATAATCTACGAGAACTTCCCTAACGATCAATAAATATCTAGAAGAATTTCCAGGCCTTGTACATTTTATATACATAGACCGAACCACGCATCGACTGACGGCTCCGACGTTAGACTTCACTAATCCTGAAACTCTAACTCTTACAACAAAGAAGGTAGCTCGTTGAAACTCAAACTGATTAATCAAGAGAATTTTTTGATGAGATATGACCTAACGAAAGCACTATTTCCGTAGATTTGGAATATGGTCAAACAAAGCAGAATGCATTTAGAAGAAGGACACTTATCTGTCATGTGGAAAGATACGACATTTAATTATGCTTACTTTTTGTGGTTTGAGGACAGTTCTGTAAGTGAATACTATCACTTAAGAGTACTAAGAGTATCGATTTTATATTGATTTTATCACGTGTATATTTTGCAGGGTTCGCCATTAAAATGCAAAGCTTATTTAAGTCACATAATAAAAAATTTCTCTGTACCAGGTATCTTTTGTGGTGATTATTACAGGTTTGTGTCATCGTTATTTAATTTTCTTCTCGTTCTACTCGAAACTCACACATATTTTGCTGATGTAATTACTTTTAGAAAATTGGCTGAAACGTACTTCCCAAAATTATCTGCTAATAAAATCCGAATCTACGAGCTATACTGTGTTCATCTGGGTTTGGCAACGTCATCCTGTGTTTTAGAACATTCGAGGAGACTCGCAGCTACGATATGGGAAGTTACAGGCGTTCCGAATAATCCTGCCGACATTCTTTAATAACATTCCGTCAAAGTATTTCTGTACAGATAAAAACTAAATTTTTCCATTAACAAGAATATACCTTATGCTACGATTAGTATTTAAAAAAAAAACTATTTAAAAGATTTTTAATTATTTATAAAGTACTTATCACATGTATTAACTTAATATTTATAAAATATGATAATGCAAAACATTTGTATTTATTTTTTTTAGTTGAAATACTACTTAGAAATGAAATGGCACAATTTAAAAATGTATGGAAAAGAACATATACTGTACGATAATGTCAAAGTTTCATGGGAATTCGTAATGAGAAACGGAGAATTTAGAAATTCAGAAAATTTTGCACAAAGAAAGGTGATTCATTCGTAATGTAAAATTATTTTTTGTTGGTGTCAGGTAAATAAATCTATGCTTTTTCGAATCACCTTCATTGCCAACCCTTACAGTTGAAATTTTATATTTTGTAAAATTATATAAAAATACCTTTTCGTAATTTCTTTTCATAGATATAATCAATTTATATATTCTCTTCTTATTCAACTATGAAGATTGGCGTAACACTAACTAAAAAAGCATAAATTCTCGTTCATTATTTGTATGCAGTTACACGAATATTATACATGCTACAACTTTCGATTATCAACAAAAAATAGTTTTAGGTTACGAGGTGAAATATTTGCGCATGATGTTGCAAGATCTAAATTTTCGAGTTCTCTTCCCTTGCCAATGAATCTAGACTACAGAGCATTGTAAATATTTAGGGACGTGATCAAAATATTATTAGAATAGTAAAAAAAAGTTTCAATGTAAGTATTTGTTAAAAGTATTTTTATACGTAGAACATCCATAAGAACGCGTTAAAACCTATTCAGTAGTTCAGTCTATGATGCCTCTCCACTTTACGATGCATAGCTTCGATACCATGAACCCGTTACAACAGCGTCTTCATTTCATCATTTCGATAGGATTCAAATGTTCTAAAAACAAACTTTTCCTTACATATTAGAAATATTTACAATGCGTACACGCGTAAGCGCTCTAAAACTCCTGCCGATCCTTTCTCTTTTGCAGAAAATGTTCTATAGTTATTCTTATAAAGCTATAAATAATTTATAGCTATAAGCTATAAATTAAGTATATTCTTATAAAGCTTTCCAGTGAAAATTAAAAATAAGTGAACGCATTCTTATTTAATGATTATTTGTCGTATCCGATTTGCGCGTATTGTCCATCTTTTTTTTTACAATTTGACTGTAACACCTTTCCGAGGATGTATTTTGTACACAATTCGCTTCGGGCGATTCTTGTTGCGGCACTTGAGTATGCAAAGTCCTCTCACTATTACTTCGTGTCGGATTATTCGATATGGAAGTTTTCCCAGGTTTCTTTAGTTTTGGTTGAGTTTCGTACATTAGTTTTCCTCTACCTCTGCCAACGCCATACGCGGTTGCTTCGCCTTTACAAATCGATTCCTTTACTATTTCCGAGTCCTGAATCGGAAAGCGTTTGTTCTTTACTGCCATGATGTCCGTATCGTCGACTTTCACTCGAGCGATTGAATTTTCAGTAAACGTTGCTGTATTTCTTGATTTGAGAATAGAAGTTTGACTCTGAAACAAAATGAAAAATATCGACGATTTAGTAAGATTGTAGTCGGAGTAAAGGTACATTTGGACGTGATGTGATACGTACAGTTGTAGCGGAACAAGTTCGATCGTCACGCGCATTATCTGGAGATTCAATTCTTGGAGGAGACATTTTTTCTGCCATTCGCCTCTCGTCGCTAACAGAATTTTTGTTAGGTTCTTCGTAATTTTTATGCAAATTATTTGGACTACCATTGACTTTAGCTTGTCTCTTAAGTTTGAATTCCTTGATTTGCCTTTCTAGCTTTGCCACTTCGAGATCAGATTCGCATAATTCCGGTATTAGGTCCCTTAAATATTCCTCCGCAGTTTTTTGTATAGTAATAACAGAGTCGAGTCCAGACGTCTTTGCGAGGTTTAAACTAAAAATAGATAGGTATGTAAGTTCTAGTGTTTTAAAAACACTGGGTATATAAGAATACTATTACATGATATATTATAACATAAAGTAACCATTGAAGAATATTATTATTTGTAGATGTTATATTATGACAAACTTACTCTAAAGATTCTATTACTTTGGTAAATATATCTGGCCTATCTGACGATTTTTTGGTAGGAGTAGGTTTATAATCTGAACCATCGTGTGTAAATAGACGACTTCCCAAGTTATATATCCTTAAAGGAACTGGTTCAAATGCCCTATAAAAACAAATTGCTTTGTTATTTTGAATAGAAAAATTGTAATCAAATAATCATAGTTTCCACTTACCCCTTTCTGTGTCTTAAAAAGACATGTTTAAATTTATGTGTGCCTCTTGCATTGGTTGTTGACGAGCTTAACATACACATAACAAAGAACTCTTTGTTGATACCATTGCCTCCAGAAAAATACGATGCAAACTCTTTGTGTAATATATTATCCCTCAGAGTGGGGACCAAATCTGTATTTTGCCTGAAGCGAAACCAACCTATAACTTGTTTGCTATTCTCACGCATAAAATCCTTCAATTTCTCTTTATCAATTCTACCAATTGAATCATGTAATAGATCTGGCAATGGGCAACTAATTACAGTTTCGATATCTAAAAACAACAAAACATTATTTCAGAAATGACTGTGTATTTGCATTGTAATAAACTACAGACGTAACCCGCTCTACAATGATCCTGAATAAGGATACTCTACTGTGGTACACGTTTCGTTGAGACAACGAAAACAAAACCACAAAAGGATTATTTACTATGTATTCAGTTGTGTTAACGTTACAGGTCAAAACCTAACCTATCGCAACTGCGGGGTACGACTGTACGATTGAGTATATTTACTGTTGTGTTTCTTCACAGTTTCGATCTGATTATCAGAGTCACTGTATGTTTTAAATACGAACTCTAGATTCTCTCCTAGTAAAAAGCCCATCTAGAACCAAAATTCGATTGTTTCAATGTTTTCTATTTCTTTGTTTGAGGTTAGAAATCTTTGAGGTTAAGTTGCTAAGGTTGTGCGTTTCGTCGAGTAAATAATTGCAAAAAGCGTAATGCATTATCAACGACGATCAAAAGACGAGAAACATCCTTTACCTGGTCTCCGGTGTTACGAACATTTTCGTAAAACAGTAAGGACATAGCAGCGCCCGAAATCGTGATGAGTAAATCGCTGTCCGCCATATTGACAATTAACTGTTAGAAACTTGGCTATTTTGTTTGACTTTCTACCGTCACGCTGTCCGACTCTACCGCGTTACACCTGTAACAATACATTCTATTGTTAAAATAATTTACTGAACTCATCGTCGATCGATCAGAATGTAGGAAAAGTATTCAAATAATCTTTAAAGTTACAATCTTTTATCAAATTTCTGAATTCTCGAAACTGTTGCTTCGTACGGCAGAATAAAAACAATTGTGGAGCGTTAGACGTTCTCGCCTTTGCTCGATCATTTGTTAAATAAACTTGATATTACAAGTTTCCAGTGAGAGAAACGATTATTGTTCTCGATCGTAACAAAGAAATGCATAGAGAACGTGACGATGTATTGGAAAGGACTCAATTGTTTCTTTTAATTAGTAGAACGCTACACGAAACGAACGTAACAATAATGATATGATACGATGTTCATTACTTTAAGAATTCCAACGTGATCCAAAACGTCCAAAAGATATTTCTTGTCAGAAGTGGGATTCGAACCCACGCCCACAATGTGGACTGCGACCTGAACGCAGCGCCTTAGACCGCTCGGCCATCCTGACAGTGAATGCTGGTTATTAATGCACTGATAAGACACATGGAAGACCATTTATACGTATAAACATACAAAATTTGGACTAAAAACATTTCTCGATCAACGTTTGATACATTGAAGTACATGTATATACCATTATCTCTTTCTTTTACGTTCCACATTTAATTGCGTATGGTATTATAATAATCGTAAATTTAAAAAAAAATGAAAGTTTTATTGATGACAATTAAATGGCCGATTCATAGATGCCTAATAAATAACACGTTTCGTCACATTCGATGGTACGTATATATGCATTTCATATAGATTCGATTTCATTTATTCGAGTAACACGATATTAATAACTTAACGCAATAGGTACATACCAATTCTCACAGGCTCAAGTTCTTACAGTTTCTTTAATTTCTTCAACGCTTTTGGAGTTACGAACGGTTATGTTATAATACTCCCATGAGTTCTTTAGGGGATTCCCCTTATCGCGTCCCTTCGAGTTTCAACAGCCTCCACCAGTTTCCACTGGCGCTAGTGAAACTCGCGCGCCTTTTAAACTTTTCCAGCACGGGTAGATATTTTTGTAATTTAGATCCTTATCAAAATTATCGGTATTTTAAATGTGTAAGAGGGAAGGGGGTCCTCTGACGTCGAGCAGCTACTAAAAACGGAGAATAGCATGTAAGACTTGAGCGATCGGGGCTCTACCGAATTAATTCTTGTTCTGTCCCCCCTAAAACCTGTGACTAAGCAAGAAAAACTCGTAAGGTAACATTATCCTTGCCCGATGCATAGCTTGGAGAAGGAAAACCTAATCTCCCAAGTCAGTGAACGTAAAAATACCAACGGATGCATTTAGAATCACTTAACGAAGTGACCAAAAATTGTAACCGTAGCTTTTCCTAAAAAGTAAGAAAAATGGTTGAATGGGACACACCTGTGAGAACTTTTTGGTGCTAAAGAAGAAATCGCGAGAAATTCTCGGCGTCGCGTACGCGCGCGAACCGTGGCCCAAAATATCCGTGTTCACTTGTAAGCGACGCGCTTGTATTTCTAGCCACGCGAAGTAGATTCGATGTAGGGCTCGAGGATAGCGTGATGTAAGCTTTTAGTGATCTCTAGTGGAGCTCCGTGATTGCTTCTCGACGATCGACGCTCCCGTTTCTCGGCTCTTCGCCGTTTCACGGAGTCGCGCTTGCCCATCCCCCTCCACGGTTTCTGGACTGGACCATGACTGAAGAAAAATGGGATTACGTGCACGAGAAATGGGAAGACGTGGACCCTGCGGTAAGTCCAGCCACGTTTTCGTCCCTGTACGTTGGTAAGCGTCCTTGACTTTTCCCTGGTTGCGTAAGAGGCGCGGATAATGCGCGAAAAAGCTGGTTAATTGAACGCAACGACGCCGGTAACACGAACCCTTACGGAGGGTATTGGGTGACGCGCGTGTTAACCTGCGTAGGATACTCGCAGGTTAATCGAGGGAGTCAGGGACGAATGCAGTTGGTTAGGTTGTGTGTCGTTTTTACGTGGCGAGGATCGAGAGGGAGAAATGTACTGTTTGGGGCACGAAAGATTAATCTGGAAGAATTTAGAAGTCGTGTTTTGGTTAGACGTGTGTTGGTGCGAGGTCGAGGTAAAGTAACTCGTTACTTGGTTATATTGGTTATGTAGGTGATCAATGTTAATAGATTAATCTTCTAAAAATGTTCAAAAATTAAACACGATATTCCCTAAATCTCCACCGTTTCTATCATTCGTTATCCAAGGTAATCTCCCTTTTAGCTTGTCACAGGCAAGTCTCGAGCTCGTGACAATCTAACGCGGAATGCCCTAAACTGTATCTCAAAGAAAACTGACCGAGTCTCTTACTACCTTCGTCGCGATCTTTCCATCGGTACCAATATTTTTCTTGAAGCATAATATTTGTATTCCATCTAAAAATTTTAAATCTCATTGGAAAGGATCGCTAACTATATTGCTGGGTCCCAATTCGCGAGTCCTCTTCTCGAAGGAACGTGAAGTTTGATGAAAAATGGGTCAGCTAGGGTCGTTACGAAACCAATATTATTTTGCGTGTCATTTGGCTACCGTGTCGATCTTCGAACGAGGACACAAGCCCGCAGATTCGTGACTCTAGCGACGAAGTTCGCGCGGCCACGGATGAGATTAAAGAGAAAGGAAGAGGGAGAGCTTTCATTCATGTCTTTCGCGTGACGCATATTCACGCGGGCTGACGCAGCGCCACCAACGTTGGGAATATTATAAATATCGCCGTGGGACGACGGAGCGTTGGAACTTTATTTTAATCTGCTGACTTTGTTGATATCTTAATATACTTCGGTCTACGTGACCCGATTCCCTCTTTGAATTAGTACAATTTCTTAATAAATTAACATAATAATTTCGTATCGACACTATTCATTTTTATTTGGACCGTTTAAAATGGTGAAAGTATTTCTCGTTAGCTCTTCGAAGTCGATCATTTTGAAAGAATCGTTTAGCCTAGTTTCGTGAGGCTGTATCGATATATTTGATACAGTGTAACGTGTTATAAAGGTTTCGAGATCGTGCACGCGTGTTCATTGAAAGATTAAGCGAAAAAGGGATGCAGGTCACTAAGCTGAGGTGAAGCTGGCGAGCAAGCGCGCGTGCTCCCTGCGCGCCCGATTGAAAATCACATTCTTAATTATTGCAATAGAGCGTCACATGCGACGTAGAGCTCGCGGCTTCGAAATCGATCGGCTGCTTGTGCGACTCTGCGTAATTGAAGCTTTTGCTATAGTTTCTTGAAAATTTATCACGATACGGATAAAGCAGTTCCAGGAACAGGAAGGATTTAATCGTAAATTACTCTTTTGCTTACGATAATCCGTCGTCGAAGTCTCGTGATCAGTCATTTGATACCTCGTTTAAGGAATATCGCGCATTTAAGACGCCCCGATAAAACTACGCATATGATCTGCTTTTATGATATCTATAAAACGTTGCGTCTAATTTTACAAGAGGAATTAACTGTCATTATCGTCGCTCGATGTTGATCCTCTAAGGTCTGAAGAAAGCAAACGACAGTGTAATAAAATATCTATCGAGCAACGCTACAAAGGGATCGATAGAACGGTGTAATTAAAGCGCGTCGCTTTGATAATGCGCGTTAAGGCTTCGCGGAAACATGTGCGTTAAAACGACCGTGTAATGCGTGGAATGATTATACGAATCACGAACGTCACGAAGTGATATATTGAAGTATATTCGAACGTTGATATAAATTGCAAATGGGGTATCGTCCTTCGGGTTGTCGCAGGTATTTAACAGTGTAGGACAAGTGAAGAGACAGAAGTTTCGACCAACTGACGGACGAAAGTTGTTTCAAGTTGTCACGGACTTGGTTCAAGCGACAGAGATATACATATTTAATCTCGATGGTGATAAGTACGGACAACTTGAGAGGTGATTCGACGAATAGACACCTGGATACCAAAAATGCAGTGGCTCCCAAGCGTCCTGGTCTCGCGACGCGAGGAATCCAGCCTCGTTTATCGATTCCACGCAGCTAGAGATTCGAAGCTGAACTTGGATTTTGGGGGTGTGTAGGGGAAGGAGGGATGAGGCGGTCGCACGATGGGGCGCCTTGACCGTGGAACTTTCGCTCAGGCGCAATGTGAGATCGTTTGATAAGGGGTTGGAGGGGGAAGGATTCCAGCGAAGGAACATGGTTCGAACACGGTCCGTTGCGATACGCTTGCCTGGGTCCTTTTTCTTCTCGCGCGGCACGATCTGGATTCATGTTGCGCGTTGATAAGCCAGAGGTCAATGAGAACGTCGCGAAGCGATCGGTTTGCGCTCGTCAGTACAACGGTGAGAGCTAGCGGGATAGACGTCGAACGGGATCACTGGGTCAAGGTTCGGGATGAAGACTAAGAACAGGTCGCTCTTCAGCAGGATCTGCAAGTGCTACAGCAAGACGGACACTTCCGGTACACCCGTGCTGAGATCCATCAACGACTTCGCCGGCTCGATGCCGTCTGACGAGGTAACATTTCGCACACGGGGAACTACATAGGTGCTGACAATTAGATGTCGGCAATAGAGCGACGTACGTACGTGTGTAAATAGCCGCGAGCTTTGGAAGCAACATGTCCTCGTCAAAGAGGCCAGATGATCCGAAGGTGTGCTTTGATCGAGTCTCTCTTGTAGGAGTGAGATTTAGTAGCTTGAAGTGACGTAGAGTGTTTATATGCATTTACATATTTTAGCTCGCGAGTTTTGGAAGCGACACGTCCTTGTCCAAGAGTCTAACTGACCTGTGGAGGTGTGCTTCGATTGAGTCTCTTTTGTAGGAGTGAGATTTAGTAGCTCGAAGAGACGTAGAGTGTTTATACGCACTTACATACAGTCGGTCTCATAAATCTGTATGTTTATTAAAGAAGTTTGTCTAAATTAAATATATAGATTCGATGTTTTCAAGTAAATGGTTCATTATAAATATGTACATAGATAAATTGTAGACTTGTATGTATATACATATAAATAATACAAGTATATATTTGAATAAAATAAAGTAGACATATATATATTTTTTTTTCGTTATACATTCACAAACATTCATTATTGTATATAGCGAACAATTTATTTGGAGACATCATACCTATCGTTAAAATTTTGAGATAATTCCTTCAATAAACACCGAGGTGTATATATCGGACCGACTGTATGTTTGCTCGGTTAATTGTAAATTTAAAGGCGGCGTAGTCCTGCGAAACGTCTAGCTAAGTACTTCCAGGTATGAATTTTTAATGGATCGAATTCGCGTTCAGCGACGAACGTTTGTAGACACAAGCTGAACTTTGGAGTATTCCCGAAGCATCTCTCTTTTAGAGATGTGTTTCTTATCGCTAGGCTGCGGATGTTTGTGCGCTTATTGCAAATGCAGATACGTGGAAATCTGTGAGAATGTGCAGAAATGCAAAAATGTATGAAACATCGACGGTAATATAAAATAGCGGACAAAAGTTTCAGGCGTGGAATTCGAAAATCGTGTCATTTGTCAAACAAATACTATCTCTCTATTCAGCTTGTTAGAAGATGAGATGTGCTTTCGTTTAAGTTTCAATTCCTAGATATGCACAACGTGTTTGCTTGTTAGATAAAAGCGACTATGTATACCTATATACACAAATATAAAGTACGATCGAGTCAATATGAAATTTAAAGGTTTTTAAAGGATAGCAAATTTTAACTTCTTCCAAGTCGGAATCTTTATTACTCCGAATTAACGTCGAGCGATCGTCGTAGTCTGAGGATGGTCGAGTGACTCGGCCCGAGTCCAGTCACTTCCTGCGCGATTTACTTTCCGTCTTGTTGAATTTCCTATCATTTACATAAGTGAATCATCTAGGTTCTATTAGCGACGGTGATTACGGAAGCCCGTCGCGTTTCTGCGCGTTGTTTTATTGACGCGATTATGTTGCGCATCGTATCGTTATACTACAATTTATTTACAATGACGCCTCGTTC